GGCAGGGGCCGGTCCCTGTCAAGCGGCCCCATGGATTCACACCTGCACAGGGCTGGAAAGGCTGCGGCGTGGTCCCCGAAGATGTGGGATGACCTGTCCACCCCTCCCTGGGAGGACAAGCAAGGTCCGGGCTGTATCTTAGAGGGGGTGTGACTCACGGCAGGGCCAGGCCACGGCATTAGGGGCATGAGAGTCCCAATCTCAGCACGCACACATGATCGGGGCCTTTGCTTCCAGGGGTGGATCTGCCGGGGGCCAACGGGAGGTGCTCTTGGGGGATGACTCTTGCGTGGGAATTTGCTTCCTCCGAGTTAGAGCGAGAGGCTCTGGCACATCCCCGAAGGGGTTGGGTCTCTCAATGCACACACGGCCTGCAGGCCAGGTTTGACGCCCCCTCAGAACAGCACCGCCGACTTGACCGCCCTGCGAGGGGGGCGCGGTGCAATCTACTTGTGAACACCATGTGCCAGCGAAAAGGAGAGCTGACTAAATAAATAAGGAGAGGGAAGGAGGATGCGGCAGCCAAGAGCTGGCCCTGCGAGTCAGGAGCCCTGCAGTTGCATCCTGCTCCTGCCACTCACTCAGGGTCCATGGCGATGGGCGGGTCACATGCCCTCTCTGTGACTCAGTTTCCCCATCGGTAAAATGGAGATAATTTCACTCGTTACTGCTTGTCCAGTGCTTGGCACTCTTCCCCAGGAAGTGAGTCAGCCAAATGCAGTATACCCAGGGGGCCTGTAACAGAACATAGCCTGTTTGTGTATCCGGACCGCCTCTAATCCCCTGTGTGACCCCGCTGGAAAAGGACCAATCAACTTTGCCACCACCCAAAAGAAGAGGCGCCCTGGCGCTGCGGCTGGCCTTCGCGGTGGTGCGGGTGGACCCAGCAAATGGCACTTATGCCCCACATGCTAGCGGCTGGCTCTTGGGAGCTGCCTGTTTGTGGGCTGGGAGGCTTTCTGCTGCCTCCTGCCTCCCCGCAGTCCCGGGTGGGGCGCCCCTGGGTGTGAGAGAGCAGGTGTGCTGGGGCAGGCCTCCACGCAGGCAGGCTGAGCAGACGCTGTCGATGCTGCTCCTCTGGAAATAACCTTGCTGCCTGCTCCGGAGAACGCGTGGAAAATTGCTGAGGAAAGCGCTTTGGGCCCAGCGTGTGTGACTGCGCTGGGTAAACAAGGAGAGAGAAAGGCAAGGCAGGGAGGGGCAGC